ATATATATATATATATGTATATATAAATTATTATATAATCTACAAGTAATCTACAAGTACATTATCAATTATTAACAACAACATCTAGTAAAATTACAAGAGATTGGTAAGGTATAAGTTGTTGTGTGTTGTTGCTGTTGCTACGGCTGCTGCTGTATCTGCTGCTACAACTGCTCCTGATGCGGCGTCCACGGCCAGCGCTGTTGTCCCACCATCCACCACAAGTCGATTGAAGTGTGTTTTAAGAATGTATTTTTGAGTCGCTTGCGGCGGCACGTAATTTCTTTTGATGCCGTATTTTTTTGTGATTTTCTTCATCACTTTCACCGCTTTAGGCTCAGCTGCCTTCCTTCCTGTTTAGAGTGACTGTCAGCGCTAACAACTCAACACTTTACTCCATTCAATGTAGGGCCAGACGCTTAAACGAAATTGTATATCAGCTTCATTATCGCCGTCGTCTTTAAAGCTTCCCCATTAAAGCGCGCGTACCGCTTCTCTATCAATAGGCAATATTGTTGCGGCAACAGTGCTACCACTACATATACAGCTGCAGCTGCGGTTGCGGCTGTGACACACCAAATGCGAAAGACTGCTGCTGCCGCCGCTCGACCTGCGACAACGGCGACGGCTGCGCCCACCTGTGCGGCGCACTCTAGCTCATATTCATAGTTGCTTATTGTTAGTTAGCTCCCCGTATCTCACCTGTTGATTATTGCAGAAGCAAGCGTATTATTGTTCGCAGTCGCCGCTGACGCCGAATTGAGAGTTGAATTGCCAGCACTGACGCCGCCACCGCCACCGACGCTACTATTGCTATTACTGTTACTGTTGCCATTACTGCTGCCACTGCTTATCGACAACGCCACCGTGTTAGTATTTCCGCCGCTGCTACTATTGTTGCAACCAACACTCTCAATTGACTTGAGATCATTACAGCTACTGCTTGTGGTCATAATATCCGCCGCTGCAGCAGTGGCATTTGAATTGGTTATATTTACCAAAGAATGTTGCATATGCGCCACAGATGACGATGATGTCGTCGAATTCGTTGTAACTTGCGCCAAACTAACACTCATTCCATTGCCTCCAACATTGCTGCTGTTATTGCAACTACCACCAGCAGCTGATACTTGCAACTGCTGCACAGTGGTTGCATTGCCCACCGCTGCGCTCGTCGCTATCGGGACCGTACGCATATTCGTGAAAATCGTTTGATTGTTACCAATGCGTCCGCGCAAGAGCGCGTGTGTCATGCCACCGGGTCCAATTTGCATCTGCATCTGACCAGAGTTGTTCTTCTGCAGCGGCTTCACGTTTAGCAGACTTGTGTAGAGCACACGTTTGCTATTCTCAACAGGACCGACACCGCCGGCACTGACTACGGCATTATTGACATTCGTTGCATTTACTTCCATATTCGAGGCGCCGATTATATTGAGTATACGTTCGCGTTTCAGTTTTTGCTGCTGCAGATTGGCATTTGCCGAGGCTTTGTTCAGCACAACTGTCTGTTGCTGAGCCGTTGCCTGTTGTTGTTGCTGCTGCTGTTGTTGCGACTGACTGACTGCGGCTGCGACTGTTTTCGCATCCACAACGATGCTGCCATGTTGCACGCTAACAGCGCTACCACCGCTACCGCTACTAGTACCACCTGCGTTAGAAGTGGTCACAAAGTTCACTTTCAAGTTGGCGTTCTGCAGCTCCTTGTAGTGATGCAATTTCTGTGCCATGTTGCTGTTGCCGTTACTGCTGCCGGCGCCACCGCTGTTATTGCTATTGGACTGCTGCACGGCAACAGCATTAGCCAGTTCACTAGCTGTGGCTATGGTGAAATTGGTTCCACCACCGCTGGCGTTGTTGCTGGTCAGATAGATTTTATTGCCACCGCTGGCGCCTTGCTGTGTAGCTGACTGCGATGAGGTTATTATCGCTGTCGTAGGCTGCAGGCTGTAGTTGTGATTGGCAGAAATTGCCGCTGAGTTGTGTTTTTGCTGTTGCTGCTGCTGCTGCTGGTGGTGTGGTTGGTGATGCTGTTGTTGCTGTGCGACATTCAACTCGGAAACGAGCAGTGGGTACGACGACATTTTTATCACTTTGCCCCCTTGCATCTGCACTTTTTGCAGCTGCGACGACGTTCCAACCAAAGTGGTGGTCACCCCACCTGATGAATTCGTGTGTCCATCATGGAGAGTATTAACCCCGCTGCCATCATCGTCTTGCTGTTGTTGCAACTGTTGCTGCTGCTGTTGTTGGTGGTGCAATTGTTGTAAATGCTTTGTGATTTGGATTTGATGCTGTTGTTGGGTGATTATTTTTCGTTGTGAGAATTTGCGATTCAACAATAGTTTGTTTATGTCTGGAATAAATATGAATATTAAAATAGAGTTTATAGAGAAGAT